CGCCGCTGCCGGACTTTACAAGTGTAAGGTCTGCCTGGACACAGCTCCAGTGCCCAGGCATCACCCTGTCGCAGGCGATAGTGTATTCCCTAAGGAGTTCAACCATACGATAGGTATGGATGCGCTAGAGGTCAAAGACTTCTATGGGAATCGCTATACTGCTGTCAATATAGTTGACATGGGAACAAGCTTCCAGCAAGTTGTGCTTGTGAAATCTGGGGGTGGTAACCCAAGTGCCCGCCAGTGTGTGAAATGCCTGATCGACAGGTGGGTCAGCTGGGCTGGACATCCCAAAGTCATAACCACTGACAGAGGGACGCACTTCAGGGGAGAATTTTCAGAATATTTGGCACAGCATGGTATAATCCATAAAAACGCCCCTCTTGAGAGCCCGCAGACTATTGGAAAGGTTGAACGCCATGGTGGACTTGCTAAGGCCATCATCAGGAAAGTCGCGCAGGAGGCTCAACCCTCGAATATCGAGGAGATGGAGGCGGTCGTTACCGAAAGTGTTACTACTAAGAACGAGCTTAGTAGGCACCAAGGGTTTAGCCCGGCACAACACGTGTTGGGAAAGCAGCCTCGAATGCCGGGTTCAGTGCTAGATGAATCCGAAAGCCTTGGTACATTGTTCACCAAGTATGATGAGACGAGTGTATACTACATTCGGCACAGAGCACGGCAGGAAGCCAAAAAGGCCTTTGTGCACTTAGAAACTTCCCGCAAAGTGGCCAAAGCGTTACAGCGTAATGCAGCCCCTCTAGACACTGACTATAAGGTTGGTGATTTAGTTATTTACCGTCGGGATAACATCCCTGGCAGCCCAGGTGTCGTGTGGTCCACGGTTAGCCGCGTCATAGGACGTGAGGCAGAGAATGCGTACTGGGTATTACACGAGAATATCCCTGTACTTGTGAACGCTAGGAAGATGCGCCCGGCTGATGAAATCGAAGTTGCAGCGCATCGCGTTTTGGCAGGAGAACCAGTGCTTCCGGAAGCCATTGTTCATGGACCGGAACAAAGGTTCCAGGATGAGCGCGTAGCAGACCCGGTCACAGCACCAGCGACGCCACGTCCAGTGGCTGCAGCTGCCCCGCTTACACCGGCAGTCGCGCACGATGTGCCTATGCCAGCACCATCGACGCCAGCGATGATGCCCGGCACACCGATGCCAGCGCCATCCACGCCTGCAAGGTTTCGTGCCAAAGATAAGACGGGCGAAACCGCCCGGTCGCGATCGCCAGTAGGAGGCCGTGATGATGCACTAGTTGCGGAAGAAATTGATCAAGTAGAGATCATGGCAAAAGGCCTGATAGATACTCAGGGTTTTTCCCCGGATGAGTGTCTGGCCCTCCTTCGTGCTTATGACCGCGACCGACGCGAGGCTTACACGCGCCCGCTCCTAGATGACGGAGATCCCGGGTGCATAGCCCTCGCGGTGGGAGTATATCGGCACGGTGGTCTTGTTGGAGTTTCTGGACCAACGCGCGAGAGACCGTCGTTTGCCATGTACCTCAATCACTACATCTTGCATCACAGTATGCAAGCCGGCCATCACCTCCCACAGTGGAGTAGCGTTCAGCTTACCAACAGAGGCGCAGATGCCCATAGAGACCTAGCGAACACTCCTGGCTCGCATAACTACACTATAGGTGTGGGCGAGTATCGTGGAGGCGGTCTATGGGTGGAAGAAGCCACGGGTACAACCCCCGTGCGTGTTCAAAACACGACAATGTATGGCACCGTCCACGATACTAAGAACAAGGTTCTTAAGTTTCGCCCGAAGGACGTGCACATGGTCGCACCGTTTGTAGGAGAAAGATACAGTCTCTCCGCATACACGGTGAGTGATCTCGGCAAGTTGTCTAAAGATGACATACAGCTTTTGTCGGACTTAGGCTATCCCATATATAGGGATGCGCCCAACACCTTTGGCAGGAAAGGCGATGGGATATACACCATGGGTCACTCTGATCTTCCCATCGAGACGTTCCTAGAACGCATCCATGAGTACGGGATTAAGGAAATCATAGATTGCAGAAGCCATCCGTACAGCGTTCGGCATCCACAATACAATTGTGATGAGCTTTCCGCCACATGCTTTGCAAAAGGAGTTGTGTACAGTCACGCCCCCGAGTTAGGCAACAGGAATCGGGGCGGGATTGAAGCCAACCTGCAAACAGACCAAGGGCTCTGTACGATCGCTAGAATAGTTAGCGAGGCCCATGATGACTTCCACCGAATACTTCTGTTGTGTTCGGAGGCCAGTTGGCGGCGATGCCATAGGCGAAATATCGCCCAGCATATATGGCTCGAGCATTCGAAACTTGCCGAGCACATACGTGCTAATGGACTGCCAGAAGCCCATCCGTGTCACTACGTTCCTGAGGAAGACGACGGACTGGCAGCAGCATCGCACACAGCTGCGATTGGCACGACTGTGCCAGCAGCTGAGCCCTCGGATAGTCGAGCGGCGGAATCCAAGGCCTTTGCTCTCACCCCAGATGGGGAAGACGCCATCGGCTCTAATGTCGATGCTGGCTACATGGCCTCGCTCCTGGATTACCACAAAGCCCCTGTCGAAGTACAGCTGGGACTGGATGCTGCCATGAAAACTGAATGGCAGAAGTACACTGAATTCAACGCAGTGGTCCCTTGCACAGACAAGGAGTTCAAGGAGCTTACAAAGGCTGGCCACGTGTGTATCCCCACCAAATGGGTCCTCACCGATAAGAATGAACACCTAAAGGGGACGCCAGCATACACTCCCAAGTGGAAAGCACGCTTGGTTGCATGTGGAAACTTCGAGCATATCTCGAATGAGGAGGATATCAGGGCAGACAGCCCCACGGCTGAGCCGGAAGGCATAGCCCTTCTGTGTTCATGGGCGGTTTCATTGGCCCTGCGGCTCAAAGCAGCCGATATAACGAACGCATACTTCCAAGGGAAACCCCTTGAGCGCCTTCTCATTCTTCGGGTTCCTAAACACCCTAAGGGTGTACCCGATGCAGAGATTCAGCGAGCCGGGCATATGATTGCCCGAGTACCCGTGTATGGCACGACCGACGCGGGTCGGAACCTTTATCTCCGCATAAAGGAGAGTGCCCGCGAATTTGGCTTAAATGCCTCGCAAATTCTGTCAGCCCTGTACTATATTACAGGAGAAGGTGGTCGTTTGTGTGCTTGCTTGTGCACCCACGTGGATGATTTCCTGTGGGCTGCTACCGCCGAAGGCGAGCCGGCTATCCAGAACCTGCTGGATAAGTTTAAGATCGGTCGCATAGAGACTGAGAAGTTCCGTTTTTGCGGACGCGAGTACGTGCAAAGCGCCGATGGGACCATCAGTATAAACTGTAGGGACAACACGCGTGCAATTCGCCCGATCGATATACATAAGTCTGAAAAGGGCACGACTCCAGTCTCGAATGGCCAGCGCACAGCGTTGAGATCCGTCATAGGATCGCTGGCTTGGGTGGCTCGCGCCACGAGACCTGATCTTGCCTATAGGGTGAATGCCCTGCAGCAGCGTGTTACGACAGCCACGGTGGATACACTCCGTGAAGCAAACCGCGTAGTAGCACTGGCGTTAGGAGATGCGGATAGGCCGATCACGTACAGCGCTAAGTTACCCTGGAATACAGGGGAGCTGGCGATTGTCACGTTTTGCGACGCCTCCTTTGCAGGAGAGGCAAACCATAAGTCGCAGAGAGGTCGTTTCCACTATCTCACTTCCGCACAGTCGGCGGTGGACAAGAACGCGTCAACGCATGAGATGCACCTCATTTCGTTTTCCTCGTCCACCATGAAACGGGTTTGTCGCGCCACACTCCAGTGTGAGGCTTACTCGTTGCAACATGCGATAGAGCATGGAGACCGTATTCGAGCAGCGGTGCTCGAACTGCTCGGCAAACTGCCCCGGTCACAGAACTGGGAAGAAGTCGCCAAGAGATCGATGTTCCACCTGCAGTATACGGACTGCAGGTCCCTTTCGGATCACTTGACTGCGTCGATTCCAAAATCATGCGAGGATAAACGCCTTGCCATAGAGATGTCTGGACTCCGCCAAGGACTTTGGGAAGAGGACGAGCTAACGCACGCCTTGTACCATCCTTACGGCGACGAGTTGAGATGGATACCGACGCATTTACAACTTGCGGATTGTTTGACCAAGAGTATGAAACCGCTTTTGATCAATCACAGCATTGACCGCAACCTCGTTCAGGTGCTCGATGTGCCCGCGCAAGCCGCACAGAATACCGAGAGTACCTAAAGCACTCCGCTTTACGATCGAAGAACTCAGCCTGGAGCCTTGAGTCGCCGCACTCGGCTCGGTTGACTGCGCAAGCTCCCGGTATAATCCGGTGGAGTAGGCTTGACCCAAAGTGGTCATAATTCGAGCATGATTCGGACGTCACACTACAGATAAGACGGGTGTGAAATTTCCCTGTCTTGAAGCGCCGTGTTGACATGTCCTCATGCGTGAATAGTTTTTTAGACAGTTCTGAACGCACCCTGTACGACAGACGTCTTGGGCTCAGACCAAAAAGTGCGCTCGTTGTGTGGTTGGACACTCACTAATCCAGTTCCTGCTTCAAAAGGGGTTTTGGGGTTTGGGGTTTAGGAGTTTTGGGGTTTAGGGTTTAGCGGTTTTAGGCTTTAGAGTTTAGGGGTTTTGGGCTTTAGGGTGTAGTGGTTTAGGGTTTAGGGGTTTAGGGTTTAGCGTTAAACCCTAAGCCTTACGCGCTACACCCGGAACCCCTAAACCCGAATGAGCCCTCAGAAGCCTTCTGAAGGCAATCGCACCGGTTCTTACGCATTTGCTGCGCCGTGGCCTCAGCTATAAATAAAGGCAGGTAGGTGCCTTCGGTTGCCACGGAAGTTCGTTACTGGTAGGTGGTGTCATCGTTTTCTGCTGAACGCTCTGGCCCCATGTCCCGCAGTCCAGCGACTCAGTGTTTTCTGGTGTATCAACAAAGTTTCATATGTAGGATCTTTGCGCGATGGCGCGCTGGGTGTGCTTTCTTCTGATCCCCCTCGCAACAGGGATCCGGTCAAAGAGCGATACGCCCTGGCCGTGGGAGGAGCATCCGGCGAGCTCGGCGGAGGAGCTTCAGGAGCTCCTGAGAACCGCGCTGGCGCAGACAAGACCAAATGAGGCCACCGGGGAAGAGCCTGGCGATGCAGTAGCACAGGAGGAGGCGCTTAGAGAGCGGATTGCCAGCATCAGGAAAGACTGGCAGAGCGCAAGCGCAACCGCTTGCCATCGGCAGCTGGGGCGGTTGATAAACAACGTCACGCTTGCATGCGAAGGCTTGCAGCCGAAAGCCGACTGGCTTCTCGACTACTACGTGCCGGCCCTTCCGAACAAGACGTGTGCCGAGAGCACCAGTGACATCTTCGCTTTAGGAAGTGAACTTGTGGAAACCCTCCACGTCTCCAGAGATGCGGTTGCTTCCGTGGATGTGGCCGGCGAAATGCTCCGTCGATATCAAGCACTCTCCTTTCTGAGGAGCTGGCTGGTGAAGCTGACAGAGACTCGTCAACATGCATTGCTTTGGGCTGGCTTCTGGGATGGGGACCCCGAGAACCGCGCGACCCAGGCCGCACTCTCCAACTTTGCCAAGGCAATCGAGCACGCGACCGTGCACCCGAACACCTTCCTGGGCCAAGCCATCGAGGCGAGCGAGAACCTCGACGCCTGCTACCAAGATGCCCTGACCAGAGCGCTTGCAGGGAACATGTGGTCCATCGCAAGCATGAGCTTCGTGCTCGGGATGCGCGAAAGGGCACAAGGAACGGTCATCGCATTGGTCAACAAGCAGATCGCGGGCGAGCGTAGCTTGTCGCAGTCTGTGCTGTCCACGCATGAAATCCCAACAGTGGGGCTCGCAGCCTGGGGCCTCGGGTTCTGGTCTCCAAAAGTGCTGGTCGTGGACCTCATGGGCACATGCGACAAGACGAGCCCTGCGCTGCAGAAGCGGCTCCTAGCCCGCCTGCCGTCTTGGGCCAAGTCCATGACGAACTGGAGCCCAGAAGCCTTCGCGACGAGGTCGCGGCTCCAGTGGCAGTGCATCGACTGCTCGGGCGCTTGCAGCCTGGACGAGGCCTTGGCAAGGCACGTGGAGAAGCTGGTCGAGGCCCCCCCCCCAGAAAAGGGACCCTTTGTGCATTATGAGCTTGTCTCGTCTTAAGACAGAAATTTCAGTGTATTATGCTATATTATTACTAGACTAGACTAGACTAGACTCTACTCTATACCTTACTATACTCCAATATACTATACTGTACATGTAGTTGTATTGAGTGTCTCATCTTACCATCGCCACCCGCCGCCGGAGGCCAAGGAGGAGCAGGACCAGAAGGACCAAGAGCTCCGCCAGGCGCCTCAGTGAGGGTGTTTTTTTTTGGGCTTTTTAAGGCTTTTTGCGTGCGGGCATCTTCGGGTTTTGGGGTTTGTTGGGCTTTCAGGGCTCTTAATATGGGGTTTATAGGGTTCTTCGGGTTGAAAGGGCTTGTGGGGTTTATATGGGGTTTAGGGTTTAGGGTCCAGGTCGTGAGTCCGGATCTCGCAGCCCTGGCTGCCACCAAGCTCAGCAAAGAAGAGGTGGGCCTCGCCGACCAGCTGTTAAGGTCGGACAAAAACTCGGGTCAGTTGCATGTTAGGTCGTTGATCAAGCTGTACAACCACAGAGAGGTGCTGGAGAAGGAGGTGCAAAGCGTCTTCATGAAGGCGGTTCCTTTGCGAAAACTTGCTGGCCCGGCTCGGCTGTCGCGGGCGAGGGAACTCCTCCAGCGGAATGCCGATCCGAATGCGGGCGACGAGTTTGGCTGCACAGCCCTCATGTGTGCTTCATACAAAGGAGACCTAGAGCTGGTTCGGGCCTTGCTGGATGCAGGAGCGGAGCTGGAGGTCCGCAATGCGGTAGGCTCCACAGCCCTCATCTATGCTGCAAGCAAGGGTGATTTGGAGGTGGTGGAGGTGCTGGTGGAAGCCGGAGCCCAGCTGGAGACTTGCAACCAGGAAGGCAGCACAGCCCTAAGGTCGGCTGCCAGCAATGGTCATATGCAGGTGGTGGAGGCGTTGGTAAAGGCCGGAGCCCAGCTTGATACCCGCAATGAGCAAGGTCTCACAGCCCTCGTGTCCGCTTCCTCCAACGGCCACTTGAAGGTGGTGGAGGCATTGGTGAAGGCCAGAGCTCAGCTGGATGCCCGGAGTGACGGTCTCACAGCCCTCATGTCCGCTTCATACGTCGGCCACTTGAAGGTGGTGGAGGCTTTGCTGAGGGCTGGTGCCCAACCGTAACTGGCAAAACAGCCTTCGACTACGCACGAGTTGCAAACCATCCTAAACCCTAAACCCTAAACCCTAAACCCTAAACCCGAAACCCTAGACCCTAAACCCTAAACCCTAAACCCTAAACCCTAAAGCCCTAAGCCCAAAGCCGGGGGAGCCCCAAAGCCCAGAACCCCCCGAGGATGCGCCTCCTCCGCCGGCACCGAGGCAGGTGGGCCTTCAGGGGCTTCTTTAGCTGCTCCTCAGGGGGTGTTAGGCTTTGGGGGGTCCAGGGTTTGGGGTTTAGGGTTTTTTAGAGGTCTGGTAGGCTTCTGGAGCTGAAAGGGCTTGTAGGGTTTGTAGTCTTTAGGGGCTTTGGGTTTGGGGTTTGGGGTTTAAGGCTTTTGGAAGGGTTGCTGTAAAACACCTCTCGAAGGGCGACTGTCGGGGGTATGCTTTGTCACAGTTTGATAACATTTTACATTTTCATGGGCATTTCTATTCAATAAGGAATAGGAGTTTAGGATTCAAGACTATCCCAACCATAATAGTGGGGCGCAGTCGGGTTGCGAAGTTTTGGGGCTGGAATATATGGGATCCTGATTTGCCCTAGTTGTAACCTACATAACAGATTGAACAGCTGCTTCCACCTTCCCAAGTCTCCCGACACTCCAAGTAGGGTTTGAGTCCGTGTCCGGGCTTTGGGTTTGAGGGTTTGGGGTTTTTGGAGTTTGGGATTGCTTTGGTGCGAGACTGCTCAGGGTTTAGGATTCAGGGTTTAGTGTGAGGACCCTAAACCCTAAAGATTCCGAGTCTTAGCGTAGACACGCAAATGCTGCGACTGCAGTTACGATGTCTACAACAATTAGCCTTATCACAGCACTCGCTGTATACTCACCCCTAGTTCCTCTACGTTAGTGAAACAAATACTACAACGCAGGCGCTTGCTGCGCCCAAGCCGCGCAAGCTTCGATCGCCAACCCGCCGTTTCCCGGCCGGGACCTGGATCTCAAAGTAAGGGGTAAATACTGTATGTAAGGGTTACTGAAGAGAGATACTAGAAGGATTATCTAACTTCAAACTTCAGTTTATGCTCTTACTGGTACTAAATGCTAAGTTGCGCTAAATGCAAATTTTCTAAATGCTACATGCTAATGTTAAGACTGGCACGAATGTTAGTACACACCCCCCATCAAAATCGCAATCCCAACTCCGATTCCCGGAGCATGCGCTAGCCCGGAAGAAGCTTTCAAGTGGTTTAGGGGTTTGGGTTTAGAGAAAACCCCCTAAACCCCAATGCAAGCTGCTGAACTTTAGATCCTAAATCCTTAATCCTAAACCCCTGAATCCTAATGAATGAATACTCCGAATCCTCCAGAAGGCAGTCGATCCGGTTTCGACGCATTTCGGGCGCCGTGGCCTCAGCTACAGTGGCAGGTGCCTTCCGTGTTTTGTGGCCGTTCGTTACTGGTAGATGGTGTCATCGTTTTCTGCTGAAAGCTCTAGCCTCATGCCTTCGGTTTTTCGCGGCAGGTCGTTGGTAATGGTAGGTGGTGTCATCTTCGTTGTCTGCCGGATGCTCTAGCTTCATGTCCCGCAGAGCTGTATGCCTCGTGCTCCAGCGACTCAGCTTTTTCTGGTGTATTTACCAAGTCCCATACGTAGGATCCTTGCCCAATGCTGCGCCTCATGGGCTTCCTTCTGATCGCGCTTGCAGCCGGGCTCCGGTCAAAGAGCGACCCGTCCTGGCCCTGGGAGGAGCACCGCCCGAGCTCTGCCGAAGAGCTTCAGGAACTCCTGAGCACAGTGCTGGCGCAGAGCAGCGCAGCTGAGGTCACAGTGGAAGAGCCCGGAGATGCAGAGGCACGGGAGCGGACGCTTCGAGAGCGGATCGCCACCATCACGAAGGACTGGCAGAGCGCCAACGCACCTGCTTGCCATCAGCAGCTCGGGCGGTTGATGAACAGCCTCACGCTTAAATGTGACGGCTTACAGCCGAAAGCCGACTGGCTTCTTGACTACTACGTGCCTACCCTTCCGAACAAAACGTGCACCGACAGTGTCAGCGACATCTTCGCGTTGGGAGACGAATTGGTGGAAACCCTCCGCGTCGCCAGAGATGCCGTTGCTTCCGTGGATGTGGCCGGCGAAACGCTCCGTCGATATCAAGCACTCTCCTTTCTGAGGAGCTGGCTAGTGGACCTGACCCGGACTCATCATCGTGCACTGCTTTGGGCTGGCTTCTGGGACGGTGACCCCGAGAACCGCACGACGCAAGCCGCACTCTCCAACTTTGCCAAAGCAATAGAGCACGCGACCGTCCACCCGAACAGCTTCCTGGGCCAAGCCATCGAGGCGAGCGAAAACCTTGACTCCTGCTACAAGGACCCCCAGACCAGTGCTCTTGCGGGCAACATGTGGTCCATCGCAAGCATGAGCTTCGTTCTCGGGATGCGCGAAAGGGCACAAGGAACGGTCATCGCATTGGTCAACAAGCAGATCACGGGTCAGCGTAGCTTGTCAGAGTCCGTGCTGTCAACGCATGAAATCCCGACAGTGGGGCTCGCAGCCTGGGGCCTCGGGTTCTGGTCTCCAAAAGTGCTGGTCGTGGACCTCATGGGCACATGCGACAAGACGAGCCCTGCGCTGCAGAAGCGGCTCCTCGCCCGCCTGCCGTCTTGGGCCAAGTCCATGACGAACTGGAGCCCGGAAGCCTTCGCGACGAGGTCGCGGCTCCAGTGGCAGTGCATCGACTGCTCGGGCGCTTGCAGCCTGGACGAAGCCTTGGCAAGGCACGTGGAGAAGCTGGTCGAGGCCCCCCTCAGAAAAGGGACCCTTTGTGCATTATGAGCTTGTCTCGTCTTAAGACAGAATCTCGCAGCGAAGGCCAAGGAGGAGCAGGACCGGAAGGACCAAGAGCTCCGCCAGGCGCGGAGTTTCCAGATGGTGCCTCTTGGCTTTAGGGCTTGAAGGGATTTAAGGGTTCCTTGGAGGTTCATGGGTAGTGAACAGTACGGTTGCAAGTTCCCCCCCAAGGCACTCCCTGCCAGGTCGTGAGTCCGCACCTCGCAGCCCGGGCCACTGTTGGAGTCAGCCAAGAGGAGCTCGGCCTCGCCGACAAGCTCATAAGGTCGAGTGACAAGTTGTTCGCTTCCGTTTCCGTATCCGACAACGACAAAGTTGTGATCAAGCTCAAGCTTTACAAGCATGCATTGAACCTGAGAGCGAAGCAGGAGGACCTTGCCTTCCGAACATTTTTTAAGGCTTGGGAAGGGCAGGAAGACCCCAGCCCGCATTTTCGGGTGGAGCAACTTCTTCATCAGAATGCGGATCCAAACTCACAAGACCGGCTGGGCCGCACAGCCCTCATGGAAGCTGCCTTCAGTGGCCACCTGAAGGTGGTGGAGGCATTGCTGAAGGCTGGAGCCCAGCTCGAGGCCCGCGAGGAGTTAGGCCGCACAGCCCTCACCATTGCTGCAACGAGCGGCCACCTGAACGTGGTCCGGGCGTTGGTGCTGGACGGAGCAGAGCCGGAGGCCTGCAATCCAAGTTGCTTCATGTCTGTTGCGAAGGCAGGCCACCTGGACGTGGCCGAGGTGTTGCTGAAGGTCGGAGTTCCGCTGGAAGGTCGAGATGAAAGAGGGCACACGGCCCTCGTCTCTGCTGCCACGCAGGGCCTCGTGAACGTGGTCGATTTTCTGGTGAGGGCCGGAGCCCAGCTCGAGGCCCGCGATCAGCATGGCGACACAGCCCTCGTGTTGGCTGCAAACAACGGCGATTTGGAGGTGCTTGAGGTCTTGATAAGGGCCGGAGCCCAGCTGGAGGCTTCTTGTAGGCACGGAACAGCTCTCACTGTCGCCGCAGAACATGGCCGTTTGAGGGTGGTCGAGTCGTTGCTGAAGGCCAGAGCCCTGCCGGAGGCCCCTAGTCAAAATGGCCTGACAGCGCTCACAGTCGCTGCAGAGCACGGCCACCTGAAGATTGTCGAGGCGTTGCTGGAGGCCGGAGCCCAGCTGGAGGCCCAGGATAAGGAAGGCAACACGGCCCTCATCTGGGCTGCACGCGAGAAGCACCAGGAGGTGGTCCAGGCCTTGCTAGAGGCCAGAGCCCAGACTGAGGCCCGCAGTGCGGATGGCTTCACAGCCCTCACCTGGGCTGTGGCAGAAGGCCAGCTGCAGGTGGTCGAGGCCTTGCTGCAGGCAGGAGCCCATGCAGAGCCCCTTCATAAGAAGTTGGCAGATCATCAGCACCTGAAGCTTGCGGACATCCTGTGAACATCGCGGCCCAATCAAGCCCCAGAGAGTATTTCTGTTCTGAGCGCAAGGGGCATTGTATTTGTCGGAACTGGCACCAAAAACCCTAAACCCCAAGCCCTGGTGCATAGTTGGTCGGAACTGACACCAAGCCACCGGAACGGAACATATCGGTGCGCATGCTGTTGTCTTGTGGAGATCGGTTCCCAGCTGAAGAAAGGCAAGGCTTCAGGGTTCCAAAGGGTTGTGCAAGGTTCCCGTATAAGGGTTACATGAAGGGTTCCTCTACATGGGCTACCTTAAGGGTTTCGATAAGGGTCACGTTAAGGGTTACTGCGTGGCTTGCCTCAAGCAGTTTGGGGAGCTCTAAACCCTGCCTTGACTTGAGGGTGGAACTCGGAAGAGCAACATCGCAACGTTTACAAGCCCGCTTATGGCCCGACAATCCTGAGGACAAGCCGCAAATCTTGTCAAGGTCCTCAAGCTTAGACCGAAAACCCTAGACCGTAAACCGTGACACCCAGAACCTTGGCAAGCACACAATCTGCAAAAGCCCACATGAGTGTACACATCTTTAAAGAAAAGAGAAACACGCAAACACCCAACCGTGAATGAAGCTTAACGGCAAAAGGAAGTTTCCATCTGGAGCCCAGATTCCTGGGCACATAAACACCTCACCCCAAGCCCCGGACCCTAAGTGTCTAGACCCTAAAGATCCGAAGTGAAACGCCAAAGAACCTCCAAATTCTAAGGACTTACTACAAAGCCTTGTAAAACTTTTACAAAAAGCTTCTAAACCCTAAACCCTTATCCTATGTAAAGGCCTCTGAAAGTGTTCCAACGACCTGACCCCGAGGATGCCCCGTTCGGGCTGGAGGCCCTGGCACCACGGTTTAGGGTTTAGGGTTGAGGGGTTTAGGGGTTTAGGGTTTAGGGTTTAGGGGCCTTGGATTTAGGTGTTGTTGGGGGTTTAGGGTTTGGGACTTTGAGGCTTTGGGTTTGAGGGCTGTGGTTAGGGTTTCAGGGTTTGGGGTTTGCGGGCTTGGGCGTTTAGGGTTAGAAGGCTTTTGTATGCTATCTGGACTTTCGTTAGGGGTTTTATAAAGTAAAAGGATGTTATGCGCGGGTTGTTAAAGCTTGGGAGTTGGTTTCTTTGGGTTTGGGACTTTCCGGCTTTGAGTTTTAGGCCTGTGGTTAGGGTTTGGGGTTCTGCGTTTAGGCAGGCATTGCTAAAGGTAATGCTTTTGATTTGCGGGAGAAGTGGTGGCCCGAAGCCTGGACCTGGACGAAAACCATCGAACACTCAAAATCCCTATGCTTCAACCCCAAAACGTAGAGTCTACGCGTCGATGGAAGCGATGTCAGAAGCCCACATGCTACGCATGCAACTTCGATAACCACAACACTTACTCTTCTTATTGTATCAAGTATATATATATATATATATCTATATATATATATATATGTATATATATGTATATGTATACATATATATATATACATACATATACATATACATATACACATATATATATATATGTATATGTATACGTATATGTATATGTATATGTATATGTATATGTATATGTATATGTATATGTATATGTATATGTATATGTATATATATATATGTACATGTATATGTATATGTATATGTATATGTGTGTGTGTGTATATATATATATATATGTTAAATTCTATGCCAGACTGCGACCCGGGCCTCAAAGTAAGGGGTTACTGTAAGGAGAATCTCCTTTCGACGCCGTTTGTGAGGGGAGTGGGTTCAGAGGTTTCTTCCAACTTAGGTTTCCAGGGGTAGGTAGGCTTTCAGCGAGGTGGATGCTTCGAATCTGGATGGCTTCCTGCCAGTTGCTACTTCCAGATCCAAGTCCAACCGGGGCCGCGGGTAAGGCACCATTCGCACAAGTTTACCGGGAACCAGGGGTAGTGTTTCTCCTGTTGGCTCCTGGGTCAAAGCTTTTGCAGCGGCATTTCAGGTTGGCCTTGCATTTCGTGGCGCTTTGCATGTCAGCAAAGCACTTGGTTTGTTGAGCGCTTGGCCGCTTGGCCGCATGCGCAGAATCCGGCGGAAGGAGCGGATCCCCAAATCCAAATCCCTCGACAGAAAGCAGGAAGGTCCCAAATCCCTAAACCCTATAAAACCCCCACACAGCTGTCCGAACTCGCAGTTCCAGAGTGCAGGCTGCCGCTCGCCCTGGGAAGAGGCTTCCTTCCCGGGAGAGTTCTCCACGTGCCTGGCTCCCAAGAGCCCTGGGCTTTTCGTTTCAGGCGCGGATTCGGGGCTCTTCCTTGCAGATTCTACTAGAGGTTTTGTGAGGCCGTGAGTCGTGAGTGTCGAAGCATCGAAGTGAGGGGGCTCCCTGCAAACCTGGTCCCGCGCACCAGTGTGGGGTTTGGGAGGCCAGGGCAACTTTCGGAAGCAGACCCTCCCCCGTTCCAACCCTAGATGCCTCAAGGCCGCAAAGTCCCGTCAATGGCCATCGTGCCTGTCTCCTCTTCACGAGGAGCCGCAGCTAGAAGCCCTTGACAGACCCTGCCGGTGAGCCCCCCCAAAGAATACTCAGCAGAAGCCCTTATAAGGACACTGAACGTCAGAGGTGGTGTATCCTGGCGCGCCGGAGAACAACCCACTTCGATGTTTGTCACGTTTGTCTCGTTGGGAAAAACTCGAAGTCTGCTTCGGAACTGCCTGAGTGTGCGGATCCGTTGCTAGCGCCGCCCACCTCGTGGTTCGCAACTAGTGTACGCTGCTGAAGCAATGCTGGCCCAGATGAGAGACTAGGACAGCGCCAGGAGTTGGTGTCCCTCTTGGTCAAGCTGCTGCCAGCACCAAAAGTTTCGAAATTGCCACTGATCAAGAAGCTGAAAAAGCTATGGCTAGTTGATGACGAACCCAGGCGAAGCTATGCGGAGGAATATCAGCAGTTTCGGATCGCCGCGAAGTCCGCCTCGGGAGATGTGCGTCGTGCGCTTTTCGATCTCATGGACTGCTGCTGAAGTGTACCTCACAATTCAGTGTTCCAAGACGAAAGGAGAAAGTTTGCTGGTAGTGGGTATCGTCGTTGATGTCGTCGTCCTCTCGTCAAAGCACAGTCGTCGTCACCGTCTCCATCAGACCATTTCGATGCAATGCTCACGCAATCACCAGTTTCCCGTCAATCGCGATTGCCATCAGCATTACCATAGTAATCATCATCATCATCATCGTCGTCCTGATCATCATCATCATCATCATCATCATCTTCATTTTCCGCATCACCATCGCCCTCATCAGAAGCATCGTAAGTCTGCATATGCTTGTCATTGTCAACGTCGCCAGCACTATCAACGCCGTCAGTTTCTTTACACCAGCGCCACCAGCATCATCATCGTGATTATTATAAATGGTTCGTGTCGTCAGCCAAGGGTCAGTTGTACGTGATGCAGTAGTCTGTCCACATCGGGGCCCAATCAGCAGAGGTTCAGTGCGCACAAGCCGACGAATGTGGGTGGGGGAGGGGCTGGTCGGGCACCAAACCCTTTTTCCATGTCCAGAATCTCTGGCCAGGGGGGCTCTAAAAGCATTCGGTGTGCAGGCACCGGCAGTTGCTGATCAGTTTGTGCCTCATGCTTTGAGACTGACGCCATGGCCTTTGTGTCGCGATCTCCGGATCAGTTCGTGAACGTCTATCCATCGGAGATCATTTGGGGTCAACAGGTGCTTCAGTGTCCAAATTGAAGTGTAGAAGAGCGGTTTAGGACTTAGGCTATGACGTGGTATACGGTATACGCCTAACGTGGCAGAATAAAGACAAGAAGTGAACACACTGGGGAAAGGTCCACATTCAGTGCTGCCTGCCACCTTTGCTCCTGGGCCTGAACTTGGGTTTCCGTGGTTGAAAGCCGAGCATAGACTAGAAGATGCATCATAGGGACCCTGAGGGGGGTAGGAGACTACTGGGTCCTTACTATGGGATATTATGGGCATTAAGGCCCCCCACACCCCCCCCTCCCCCTACCCCCCTTTAGGGGTCCCTATGAATGCAAGCGCCTGCAAGGATCGAAGAGCAGATGTTGCTGCCCAACATCAAGTTCATCGCAAAGCTGGTCGCTGTGGATGCAGAGCTCTGCAGACGCCAGAGGCTAACACCAGAGCAGGTCCTGCGCTGAGCACAACGACAGTGAATTTCGTGTCGAGCAGTGGAGCAGGGATCCCAAGCACCGCAAGCCCTTAAAACCCTGGAACTGAAGAAGCGTTTAACTCCAAAGCCTTACAGCTTCAATCCAAGTACCCGAGGGGTGTGGACGCGATTTTCAGGCCTCGTCGTCCTAAGACGTATGCACGAGGCATAATTTCAGCTCCTGCCAAGGTTGTTGCAAGCAAAAGGGTGGCTTCTCAGTTCCTATGTGCTGGAGTCGTGCAGCTGGAGGCGAGGGGTCTGTCATTGCATTTTCATGCTCCCGATGTGGGTTTCGATGCATGCTGTGGATCCGCCTTGTGCAAGAAGGATTCACTCCTTGCCAAAGTAGAACACTTCTCCCCAGCAAGTGTTGATGTCTCGTGTTGACAACCCAGGTGACAACTCGAGCACAGGCGCTTACGATGTCCTGTGATCCGCGCTGTTGGACCCGAGTACACGGAGTTGACCAAGGCAGTGTGGTGATTGCCCTCGTGGTAAAGAACACCGTCATGGGAAAGGAGTTCTGGGCCTTGAAGGGTATGGCGACCATCGGCGTAACAGGCACAAGCGAAGCTGAGGAGGCCTTCCTGGCATATCTTGGTGAGGTGAACGAGAAGGTGCTGGATTGGCAGAGCTCTTTTCAGAAATCTGGCGTGGAGCGTGGAGTCGAGGTAATCCATCGCTTCAGGGAACGGCTGTTGGGCATCGACGAAGGCTTTTCCAAGTGGGGCAAGGAGCAACTTAGCCGTATGAGGTCACAGCAACCAGCAGAAGATAACGTTTCTTGGCCTCCGTCCTGGCAGTGCCCTGAGGTTGACCAGGCCTTGCAAGAATGTAGACGATCATTCTCAGCCGTTAAGACGGTGCAAGGCATGAGCAGGCTGCCGGCGTCAGAAGTCGTAGAGCGCTCACGCCAAATGTGGGACGCCGTTTCCAGTCTTCTCCAGTTCAAGGCTGCCGAGGTGCAGGCCAACACCGCGAGTTGCGTCCACGAGATGCTGGATTCCCCGTACAGCTTGACTGTGCAGGAGTCAACCCTGCCGCGATCCCGATTTCTGCGGGCACGCTATCCGGAAAGTTTCCTGCGAGCAGACTGGCTGAGTGATGCAGTTTGGGTCCACGAGATGCTGGATTCTTCGTACAGCCTGACTGTGCAGGAGTCAACTCTGCCGCGATCCCGATTTCTGCGGGCACGCTATCCGGAAAGTTTCCTGCGAGCAGACTGGCTGAGTGATGCAGTTTGGGTCCACGAGATGCTGGATTCTTCGTACAGCCTGACTGTGCAGGAGTCAACTCTGCCGCGATCCCGATTTCTGCGGGCACGCTATCCGGAAAGTTTCCTGCGAGCAGACTGGCTGAGTGATGCAGTTTGGGTCCACGAGATGCTGGATTCTTCGTACAGCCTGACTGTGCAGGAGTCAACTCTGCCACCGTCACCCTTGCTGAGGGCAAACTACCCTGAGAAAAATTTGTTCCTGCGAGCAAACTGGCCCAGTGATGCGCCAGGAGCTGTTCCTTGGCCTCCCATTATCCAGCAAGCTGGAAGTAGCACAGATGCAAGCTCGCAGGATCTTTGCAGGGATCTGAAAGCCGCAATGCCGGAAGAAGCCTTCGCGCAGCATTGCATGAAGGTAGACCGGGCCTTGCAAGAATGTAGGCGATCATTCTCAGCCTTCAACACGGTGCCAGGCATGAATAGGCTGCCCGAGGCGTCAGAAGTCGTAGAGCATTCAAGCAGAAGGCTGTGGGAGGACGTTTCCAGAAGACTGGAGTTCGAGTCCGAGGAGGTTCTAGCAAGCATGCATGGCCTTTGCAGGGATCTGAAATCCATCAAGGCGGAGGAAGCCTTCCGGCAGCATTGCCTTGACGTTGACCCTGCATGAATGTAGGCATTGTCAAGGGTTCTGTAACGGTTCTCTACTATGGTTCTCTTGACTTATGGGCCTTCTTTGCTCATGAGGGTTGTTGAAGGGGTATAAGGGTTCTGTAAGGGTTCGGGCCCCTTTCTGGTACCCCGAAGAAGAAGTAGAGTCTTTCTTGGGGTTTAGGGTTTGGGGTTTGGGGTCTTTGTTGGATCACTACTTGGCACACGAAGCAGATGGTTTATGTCGAACTGGCTTCATTCGTCTACTAGAAGGCCAGCTCATGCCTGCCGTGGCAGTCACGTAAGTATCCTTTTCCAAGGGCGAGTGTCAATTGTTTTCGCAGAAAGAGAGTTTAAATCAGAAGTCATGTCTAGTCTCTAGACTCTACACAGAAGATACTGGCAACTACCCCATCGCGTGTTTGTCTTTGCAAAGGAGTTGCTCCAAGCATTCCGGGCACGAGAAGGCCCACGCTACTGTTCGGCGCTTCAACACGTTATTGACCTGGGCCTTGGAGCGAAGGCCCTCCCCGTCTATCGACTCTTTCGCCATGTCGGGACAGACCAGGTCAAAGCTACAAAAGATTTTCTTCAGGAGGTGAACCTTCAGCTGTGCTTCGTGCTCGACTCCGCAGCACAGATGCGTGCCCATGTCCGGTGCAGAGCAGAGTTTGGGGTACCCGGAACGACGAACAAAACCAAAGATTCAATCTACGACATTCGCAACCTCAGAAGCAACGGCCGAGGAGGAGGACATCCCTAAACCCTAAACCCCCAAAATCAAAATGATCTTGAACTCCGACGTCTGGAATCCAACACCATCGGCCCTGAATTTTGACCTACGCCCTAATTTAAAATTAGAATAGGGTTTCTGCGCCCACTATACCATACTCTTCATAAGGAACCCCCAACACAGTAAAGGTAATATTCAGCACACTGGATGCCTGAAACCGTCAACCCCGAACCTTTAACCCCCTAAGCCCCAATCCGTGACCTCCATGCTTCAATTCCTGCTTGGAGGTTCATGGGCAGTGAAAAGTTTTAAGTGGGGTTATAAGTCCCCTAATAGGGGCTATAAGTAGAGTTACCTTACTTATGACCCCACTTATGACTACCAATGAACCTCCAAGTAAGGTTCAACTTGCTGCTCATAACATCCCTAAACCCTAAACCCTAAACCCTAAACCCAACAGAAACGAGCTCTAAGCCTTGAGCAAACCATGAGCGGTAAATTCAAACCTTCAGTCCCAACAAATCCCTAAACGCGAAGATCCAAAACTCAACTCGCAGACCCTAAAGTCCTGCCTTGAGCAGGTTTGCCTCAGTCCAAGCCGGCGGTTGAGTTTTAGGGCCTGAGTGTTTAGGGTTTTGGGGTTTAGGGTTTTAGCCCGAAGGCTGTTGTGGTTTCAGGATTTGGGGTTTGGGTTTATGTGGAGGTCTCTAGATGTCATGTTTGAGGTGAATTAGCTGGGTTTGCAGACACGCCTAGGGTTTGCGATTTAGCATTGGGTTGAGGTGTGACAGCAGCCGCCTAGTAGTAGTACATACACAAGTAGCCATACTTCCTTTGTATCGTGGCAGTGGAGCCCGAAACTCTACCCTACGCCCTGAACCTTAAGTCACGAAAGCTCAAACATGGGATCTGGAGCAGGGAGGCGGGCAAGTCACAAGAGCAGCCCCAACTCGAGGTGTAGGGTTTGGGGGTTTGGGGTTTTAGGGGTTTAGGGTTTTAGGGGTTTAGGGTTTAGGGGTTTAGGGTTTAGGGTTTGCGGGTTCCTGCACCGCTGTCCAAGGTATCTCGGTGGTGGCAAGTGCTGTACAACCGAATGGAGCGCTTGCGTCGGCGGCGCTCGGACGGCAACGGCTCTCAGGGTTTAGGGTTTAGCGCGTCAATGTGTTGTTAGTTTTTGGGCTACTGCAGAGGGTCCTTTAATGTCTTGTATGTTCTGATTTCCCTCATGTTCAAAGCTTAGCCGTGCCACATGTGTCAACACCGTGACACCGCTGTGAGTACACGATTTGTAACGTTTGCAAGTCATGTTGACTTTCAAAGCCTAGGCCCTAAGCTGGCAACTGCAAAACCGAAGACCGTAAACTCTGCAATCCTACCTGCGAGGGGATGTATGGAAATGTGCGCTTGTGCGGCGTAGTGCCAGAATTCCGGAAGTTTCAAGTCTTGCGTCCCCCCTGTCTCAGCTTATAGCACCAACTGAAGCCCTGAAGATGCAAACCTTAAGCCCACAATCCCTCAAACCTCAAGCCCTCAGCCATCAAACTCCAAACCTTTAACTCCAAACCTTTCCTTGCGCCCACCAAGCTCTGAAACCCTAAACGCTCAATTATTAAATTGTTTCTGAGGTGCGGACTCGAGCTTCTGTAAGGGCGACAGGCTGTCCTACCTTGGTGGCGGCAAGTGCTGCGTGACAGGCGGGACCAACAGTGTGGGCTTCAAAGGACCGGGAGTTTGGAGTCTGGGGGTTGGGTTGCTTTAAAGGGATATTATAAGGGTACTACAAGGGCTTAATATAGGGGTCTTTGTAGTTATGCTTTAAAGGGATATCATAAGGGTACTACAAGGGCTTAATATAGGGGTCTTTAGAGTTACCTGTACTTGTTTGAGGGTTCCTTATTATAAGTGTAGAATACTTGGCCCCAAAACCCTAGTCTAGTTATTACGGCCCCTATGTTATGGTTTCAGGGTGGTGCATTTCGGGCTCAGGGTTCTTCGGGTCTCGGCTTAGGGTTCGAAGTACTTTCAGCTTTGAGGCCTTTTGGCTTGAGGGTGGGTAGGAAAACGTGCTTCAACCGCTGAGGTCCTAAAGCCTTGAACTCTACAACCTTAAATCCCTAAACTCCAAGGCTAAATCCTAAATCCTAAACCCTGAACCCTAAATCCTAAACCCTAAATCACATCCCTAAAGCCTAAACCGTGTCCAGGGCCCTTGAGCCCTGAACCGAAGTTGCACCCCACACGAGGAAGCTCAGCTTACTGCAGCCCGACTCTTCCGGAACAGTCTACCCCGTATGGGGTTCGGGTTTGGGGCTGTGGGGTGAGGGTTCGGGTTTTGGGTTAGGTCCGCAGTGCACTTAGGGGCTTTATCTACGGGGTTCTAGAAGCAGGGTTTTTATACTCGTCTAGACCCCCCAAAGCCTACTGTTTCAGGGCTCCGTATTGTGAGAGTCCGTAGACCTTGCCAGGTTCCTCGTACTATGTCAAACCCACTTGTGCCGAGGGCACACGTGACTTCTGCAAAGGCAGCCCTGAGCGGAGTGGGGAGAGGTGTAGAGATTTTTCGTGCTACCATGTCAAATTGCGATGGACACCTCGTCGTTCTCCCCAAGTGCTTTGTTTTTCGTTCACAAGTTCTGCTCCTGCTGAAGCGCCGTGTGTTTCCTCCGCGCGAGTTCTTGGACTGTGCTTGAACATTCCAACATCCACAGTTGTGAGCGCTCGTAGAGCTGCTTATGCTTTGATTCGGGGCGGTCTTGAACTAAGGAGCACTGGCGGGTGTCTGCACTGGTTCTTGAACCCTAAACCATCCTGAACCCCCTAAACTTTATAAATCCTAAACGCTATGTCATCCTAAAGCCTACACCCTTAACCCAGGCTGCATGGGGTGCTCCGCGAAGAGTTGTTGACTACTCTCGGGCCTTTAGTTGTTTCGGATTTCACCTGGGTTTAGGGTTTACGAGTTTTGGCTTTCCTCGGTTGTGGGTATGGCATGCGGATTTCGGTAGCGTTGCAGATTTCGGTTGCGGTGGTTGGGGTGCAGCTGAGGGTTTCGGGTTTCAGGTTCAGATTCCAGATTGTAGAGTTTGCAAGTTGAGGGCCAACAGCCTTGAGGGTCCGGTGTTAAGGGCGTGCTGCTTGGCACTCGAAGAGAGTTGAGTTCGAAGAGTTCTGCGGAGTCGTCTGACTTTGATATGCGTGTTACATTCGTCTTGCTTGGCAAAGGTTTACCAAAGTTTTGCAGCTGTGCGGGGTGCCGGATGTCATTGATGTCGCAATATCATTGGGAGAAGGTGAGGGATTCAGCAAGTTGGCTAAGAACAGAGGGCCCAAATTTGTTCCTTTACCATAACTTTAGTATAGCAACCCCAAAAGCCCTATTCAAGCTGAAAAGGCCCCTGTATTAGACTTGGTGTTTGTAACCGAGCGACCGCCCCAACCCAGTCTGTGATGATCCGTCATTGGCATCGGCTGCGCATTTTCCAAGCCCATTCATCCCAGTTGCCGTCATCCCCATTTCAGTTCATGCCCTTCCACAATCCGCCATAACCCCAAATGCTGACACTTTATAGCCTCATGCCGATTCTACAGACTCGTCACAATCCAAAAGATGCCCGAAGCAGGCTATCCATGGAAGTACGTCGGCGGCAGCAAGTGCTGCGCTTCGATGCTCGGCAGAGAGGGGCTTAGGCCCGTAGAGGCCCGAGACTTTCAGAAAGCCAAAACCTCAACCCCAAACATCAAGAAAGCCCGACATGCCGACAAAACCCTTCAGCCTGAAGCCTGGAATCAAAGGTCTTGATCGGATTCTCCAACTCCTCAGTTCTGCTCAGGAAGCAAGCGAGCTGCGAGAAGTACTACGAGAGCTCGCGCTGCAGCAGCCAGGGAGGATGCTCGGCAGAAGAATGGCTCTACTTACCTTTGGTTAGTAGGGAATGAAGGAATGGGTGCTATTACTATTACTATCATTCTTCCATTCCCTACCAGCCAAAGGCAAGTCTAGGGCTTTGGGGTTTAGGGTCTTCAGGAATCCGGGGTTTAGCGTTTGGGGTGTTTAGTGCCTCAGAGTTTCCCGAAGACTCCATCCTTATCTCCTCGGTGTACATAGGGTGATCTGGGACTCCCTTGATTCAGGCCCCTCCTGGGACGTCTGCGAGCGTCGGTGTTGAAACCTCAGACAACGCCGTGAAGTACCGACCTACGAGCAAACCAAAAAACCCTGCAAGCCAATTAGTTCCACAAGGACTCTTGCCAGAGTACTTGTAACGGCCCAGAAGGTTTTTAGAAGCGCTTTTCAAGAGGCTTAGCGTTTGGGAGTTGCAAACCAGACGTCCGGATGATGAGCTAGATCATCCGCTTATGCTTATGATCTCTGTATAGTTAGGCTTCAAAAAGCCTTTGGAGCCTGGCTCGGTTCCGATGCTTTGAACTTGGGGTCGTGGCCGTAACCTTTGGTCAGGGCACGGAATGCCACCTCTTTGATATCACGAGGAAGCTCCGAAATGGAGTCACTGCAGACAACCGAGTTGCTTCATAACTTATTCATAGCGGTTCAGGGTAGCGGAGAGAGCAACCCAGAAGAGTTCATGGGCTGGTAGCTTGACAGACCTGAGGAGACTACCTGGGGAACGGCAATTGCTGCTGGAATTCATGAGTGGCCCTACAAGCCATTCCACATCTGTGGCACCTCGTCCCGTTTGAGTATCGGACCGCCATCTTGCAAGCGAAAATGATAAACAAGTCGGTTGATGATGTACCAGGTTTCTTGGTTGACAGGATCCCACAACCACCGCTGTGCAAAGATTGCTGCAGCTGACACCACGACTACAACTGTAACACTTGTCCAGGTGTTGCCACACCAACTACGGCGATAAAGCAGAAAGTCCCTACTATGTTATGGGAGAAAATAACTAGTACTACTTGTCGCTCCGCATTTTTCTCATAGTATACTATACCCCAAAACCCCAATTTAGTCAAGGCCCCATAGTGAACCCCGAAGCCCTTGTAGCGCTTTCTGGTGTTTTGGGAACAGAGGGTCATCCTCTAAGTCTCCTTGAAATAGTTCTGAAACTACCATGTACGCTCCCTTGTGAAGAACGAGAAGGCCCAGCACAAGGCTTTGCACAAAGCAACAAGCCCCGTATGACTCTGCAAAGGGTTTAGGGTTTAGGGGTGTTTGGCCGTTCGTGCCACGGCCGTCTTGCAAAAGCCTGCTGCAACCAGCACGTGCACCTGAAGCTGGACTTTCCAGATCAGACCCTGCCAGGCCACAGAATCCCTAACCTAAGTTCCCAAGCCCCAAAGCACCAACATTTTTTAAAAGGACTTGTACAACGAAAGCCAGAATCCACAACGATAGGTTCAGGAGCTCCTAAGCCCCTCTCTGTGAGTGTATACAGGGCTCATGTTGAAAATGGGTTGTATCCTTATCATGGGGTACCCGTAGGGAGATACCCTACAAGAAATGATGGGAGCATCCTTGGGTTGCTCAAACGGAATGTCCGACTGTCGTGTCCGAAGGCCGTTTTCGAGGTCTTGTAGCTGGCAGACTTAGCCCAGGGTGCCCAAAAAGCACGGACCCTAGACATTCAACATTAGTCGTGTAGAGCTCTCACAGAAGCCTGCAAGATCCACTATTGGGGCTCCTACCGAACCCGTTCAGCACGCGTAACCTTGCAGAAACTCCTGTAGAACCCTTAGAACACCGCATTAGAAGCAACCCTTTAAGAACCTCGAAAGCCGCAACATCCCAAAGCCCTGGCGATTGGGCCCATCACAGCGGGGGACTCGGCGAGGTAGGGTTTTGGGGTGCGGGTCCTGGGGTTTTAGGGTATAAGGGGGACAAAGGGTTCAGGGTTTAGGGTTTGGAGGGCGTAGGGTACAGGGCATAAAGGGTTCCGTACGCTTCTACAAAAGGGTTTCTATATCTTCCCACAGACGGTTCTGTGAGGTTACACGAGCGTAGCGTCAGAGTTGGAGGTTCTTCGGGTCTAGAGTTCAGGGTTTTGGGCTCTGTGGGTTTAGGGTTTGTTGGACACCAATGAGGGGGGTTTCAGGCCCGAACCCTAAAACTTAATGGGACTGCGAGAGGTGTTGGGGGTCGCCACCCCAAGGCACAGGTGCTTGGCCCGTGAAGCAGGACGTCGAGGTTTCGGTTCTAGGATCTCTGAGTTCAGGTATAAGGCTTTCGGGGAAGGGTGTTCTTGGGGTTTAGGGCTTTCGGGCTTCGGTATATTAGGATCTATAACCCAAGCCATGAGCCCTTTAGAGCTGCGGATCGAGACTGCCACTCTGTAGGGTTTGAGGTTGAGGAGCTTTGGGTTCGGGGTTTCGGGTTATCCGAAACTCCGAGGCCTCACACGGTCCATTCTTAAATGGTGGAGCCCCGAATCACTGCCCTAAATGCCCCCGCCGGATTTGTAAGTTTAGGAAAGTGGCAACCCTTGCCAGGAGCATGCCACCTCTCGCAACCTTAAACCCTAAATCCCTTAACCCTAAACCCCTAAAGCCCGAAACCCTAAAGCCTAAAACCCTATAGATCCCTTAAAGGAACCCTTAAAGGTACCCTTATAGATCCCTTTAAAGGAACCCCCTAAACCCCAGCGAAGACTCCCGAAGCCCGAAACTGATCCGAGAACTGCTGCAACCTTTCAGGCCCCTCAGCCTTCGACCTTCAGCCGCTTCAGCAACCCTTAGGCGAGACCCTTAAACCCTAAACCCTAAATCCTAAACCCCTAAACCCCTAAATCCCAAACCCTAAACCCCTAAACCCTACAGACCCCTAAACCCTGAATCCTAAACTGCACGTTAAAAAAAGCCCTAAACCCGAAGCCCTAAGCTTTAAGGCGAGAAGGGCGAAGTCCCTTCCAAGCCCCTTAAAACCCCGAGCCGCAGAAGCTCCCAGGCCTGAGGCCACGTGACCGTTTAGGGTTTAGGGGTTTAAGGTTTAGGGGTTTTGGGGTTTAGGGTTTAGCGATTTTGGGCTTTAGGGTTTAGGGGTTTTGGACTTTAGGGTGCAGTGGTTTAGGGTTTAGGGGTTCAGGGTTTAGCGTTAAACCCTAAGCCTTACGCGCTACACCCGGAACCCCTAAACCCGAATGAGCCCTGAGAAGCCTTCTGAAGGCAATCCCACCGGTTCTCACGCATTTGCTGCGCCGTGGCCTCAGCTACAAAGGCAGGTAGGTGCCTTCGGTTGGTACGGAAGTTCGTTACTGGTAGGTGGTGTCATCGTTTTCTGCTGAACGCTCTAGCCCCATGTCCCGCAGTCCAGCGACTCAGTGTTTTCTGGTGTACCAACAAAGTTCCATATGTAGGATCTTTGCGCGATGGCGCGCTGGGTGTGCTTTCTTCTGATCCCCCTGGCAACCGGGATCCGGTCAAAGAGCGATACGCCCTGGCCGTGGGAGGAGCACCCGGCGAGCTCGGCGGAGGAGCTTCAGGAGCTCCTGAGAACCGCGCTGGCGCAGACAAGACCAAATGAGGCCACCGGGGAAGAGCCCGGCGATGCAGTAGCACAGGAGGAGGCGCTTAGAGAGCGGATTGCCCTCATCAGGAAAGACTGGCAGAGCGCCAGCGCAACCGCTTGCCATCGGCAGCTGGGGCGGTTGATAAACAACGTCACGCTTGCATGCGAAGGCTTGCAGCCGAAAGCCGACTGGCTTCTCGACTACCACGTGCCGGCCCTTCCGAACAAGACGTGTGCCGAGAGCACCAGTGACATCTTCGCTTTAGGAAGTGAACTTGTGGAAACCCTCCATGTCTCCAGAGATGCTATAGCTTTCGGGGATGTGGCCGGCGAAACGCTCCGTCGATATCAGGCACTCTCCTTTCTAAGCAGCTGGCTGGTGAAGCTGACTGAGACTCATGATCGTGCACTGCTTTGGGCCGGCTTCTGGGATGGGGACCCCGAGAACCGCACGACCCGGGCGACACTCTCCAACTTTGCCAAGGCAATAGAGCACGCGACCATCCACCCGAACAGCTTCCTGGGCCAAGCCATCGAGGCGAGCGAAAACCTTGATTCCTGCTACAAGGACCCCCAGACCAGGGCTCTTGCGGGTAACATGTGGTCCATCGCAAGCATGAGCTTCGTTCTCGGGATGCGTGAAAGGGCACAGGGAGCGGTCATCGCATTGGTCAACAAGCAGATCGCGGGCGAGCGTAACTTGTCGCAGTCCGTGCTGTCCACGCATGAACTCCCAACAGTGGGGCTCGCAGCCTGGGGCCTCGGGTTCTGGTCTCCCAAAGTGCTGGTCGTGGACCTCATGGGCACATGCGACAAAACGAGCCCTGCGCTGCAGAAGCGGCTTCTCGCCCGCCTGCCGTCTTGGGCCAAGTCCATGACGAACTGGAGCCCAGAAGCCTTCGCGATGAGGTCGCGGCTCCGGTGGCAGTGCATCGACTGCTCGGGCGCTTGCAGCCTGGACCTATCCTTGGCAGAGCACGTGGAGAAGCTGGTCAAGGCCTCCTAGATAAACAAGCTCTCGTGAGTCTCGGGATTCGATGGTAGGAATGTATATGTTGGCTGAGTGAGTATGTACCGGAGGCCAAAGAGGAGCAGGACCGGAAGGACAAAGAGCTGCGCGAGGTGGGCTCTGGGAATATAAGGGGCGCACCAAGCATCCCAAACCCTGTCTCCAAGCGGTAACGAGAGAACACTTTCCTCAGGTCACAAGCCGTCACCTCGCGGTCGGCGCCGCGAGCGGGCTGAGCCATGAGGAGGTGGGCCTCCGGTACAAGCTGATGGCGACACTGTGGGAACATCACGACACCAGAGACAACCTACCACATTTGCAGGCCGTCACGGCTGCGCTGGACAAAAAGCTCAACGAACAAAGGGAGAAGCTTGAGTTTCACGAGCTCGACCGCTCAGCCAGGCTGCTTCAAGTGAAGCATCTCCTCCACCAGAATGCTGATCCGAACGTTCCGGACCGGCTTGGCAACACAGCCCTCTTTTATGCCGTTTATGCTGCATGCGAGAGATACTCTGAGCTGGTCGAGCCGTTGGTGAAGGCTGGAGCCCAGCTGGAGGCCCAGAACGAGGAAGGCGACACAGCCCTGATGTGGGCTGCTAGCGTTGGCCAGCTGAAGGTGGTCGAGGTGTTAATGCAGGCCGGAGCACGGCTGGAGACGCGGAACCAGCTCGGCTTCACAGCCTTAATGTCGGCTGCCAGCAGTGGCTATTCGAAGCTGGTGGAGGCCTTGGTGAAGGCTGGAGCCAAGCTGGAGGCGCGCACCGAGCAAGGCATCACGGCTTTGATCTATGCTGCAGGGAAAGGGCAAGCCAAGGTCGTCGAGGTGTTGGCGAAGGCCGGAGCGAAGCTGGAGGCCCAATCAAAGCAAGGCTTTACAGCCCTCATCTTTGCTGCAGGGCAGGGGCACGTGAAGGTGGTCGAGGCGTTGGTGAAAGCAGGAGCCCGGGTGGAGGCTCAAAGTGAGCAAGGCTTCACAGCCCTCATGTGGGCTGCTAGGGGTGGCCACCTGAAAGTGGTTGAGATGTTGGTGAAGGCCGGAGCGCAGCTGGACGTCCGCAATACTTCTGGCTTCACCGCCCTCATGCTCGCTGCTGGCAGCGCCCACCTGAAGGTGGTCGAGGTGTTGGTGAAGGCCGGAGCCAAGCTGGAGGCCCACGATGAGCAAGGTTTCACAGCCTTCACGTGGGCTGAAGCCAGAGGCCACCTGAAGGTGGTCGAGACGTTGGTGAAGGCCGCCGCACTGAGCCTACATTGATGCAGCAGGACGCGGGTACTCGAGATTGCGAACGTTGTGATTTAGCGAGCACAGACAGAGTGATCAACTGCCATGAGTACAAAGGACTATGCAGCGTACTCAGCTGTACCTCCTGGGCACCTGCAGATGCAACGGAACTGAAGCCACGCTTCCGGAGAAAGTGGCGTGGTTTGTACTTCGCTTGAAGTGATTGAAGTGATGCATCTTCCACACTTTTTCTTTGCGAGTCGCATAATCGCATAGCAGCAATTCCTGAGAGGCTTCTAGGGAGGGTCTGCCTAACACACGTGCTCTTGAATCCCCTGGGCATGCCCAGAGTCAGATTCAGCGCAGGCGGCTCGCAGAAGGTTTAAGATTGGTTTTGGAGCCCTAAACCGTAAACCCTGGATAGGGTCTGTCTGACAGGGTTTGCAGGGTTTGGGGTCGTCCAGACCAAGCCAGCATCGACGGTCTAAACTCTGACCGAGCCTTGAGCCCTACCTTAGACCAGCTTTTTTCGTGGGTCCTGATTATGACGCCGAATATGGAATGCACACGGACCCCGCAAACAAGCAGGTTTTTTGATAGGTTAGGGCTAACCCCCCCAACTTCAGGTTTGGGGGAATTTGTTTTGGTGTGTAGGGTTAGGGTTTGGGGTTTTAGGGTTTAGGGGTTTAGGGTTCGAGGGTTTGGGGGTTTAGGTTTAAGGGTTCAGGGGTTTTGGGGTGTTTACGATGTTGGGGTTTGTAGGGCAGTGCCCAGGCGATCCGGTCAGCATGCATGGCCCGCAATAAAGCCTGCAGGTGACCGATTAAATCTTCAATACCGACTCATGAAATTATCGAAATCTCTCGAATTTGGGGCAACTTAGGAATGTTTTTATCTTTGATTCAGGGTTTAGGGTTTAGGGGTTTAAGGTTTAGGGGTTTTGGGGTTTGGGGTTTAGGAGTTTTGGGGTTTAGGGTTTAGCGGTTTTAGGCTTTAGAGTTTAGGGGTTTTGGGCTTTAGGGTGTAGTGGTTTAGGGTTTAGGGGTTTAGGGTTTAGCGTTAAACCCTAAGCCTTACGCGCTACACCCGGAACCCCTAAACCCGAATGAGCCCTCAGAAGCCTTCTGAAGGCAATCGCACCGGTTCTTACGCATTTGCTGCGCCGTGGCCTCAGCTATAAATAAAGGCAGGTAGGTGCCTTCGGTTGCCACGGAAGTTCGTTACTGGTAGGTGGTGTCATCGTTTTCTGCTGAACGCTCTGGCCCCATGTCCCGCAGTCCAGCGACTCAGTGTTTTCTGGTGTATCAACAAAGTTTCATATGTAGGATCTTTGCGCGATGGCGCGCTGGGTGTGCTTTCTTCTGATCCCCCTCGCAACAGGGATCCGGTCAAAGAGCGATACGCCCTGGCCGTGGGAGGAGCATCCGGCGAGCTCGGCGGAGGAGCTTCAGGAGCTCCTGAGAACCGCGCTGGCGCAGACAAGACCAAATGAGGCCACCGGGGAAGAGCCTGGCGATGCAGTAGCACAGGAGGAGGCGCTTAGAGAGCGGATTGCTAGCATCAGGAAAGACTGGCAGAGCGCAAGCGCAACCGCTTGCCATCGGCAGCTGGGGCGGTTGATAAACAACGTCACGCTTGCATGCGAAGGCTTGCAGCCGAAAGCCGACTGGCTTCTCGACTACTACGTGCCGGCCCTTCCGAACAAGACGTGTGCCGAGAGCACCAGTGACATCTTCGCTTTAGGAAGTGAACTTGTGGAAACCCTCCACGTCTCCAGAGATGCGGTTGCTTCCGTGGATGTGGCCGGCGAAATGCTCCGTCGATATCAAGCACTCTCCTTTCTGAGGAGCTGGCTGGTGAAGCTGACAGAGACTCGTCAACATGCATTGCTTTGGGCTGGCTTCTGGGATGGGGACCCCGAGAACCGCGCGACCCAGGCCGCACTCTCCAACTTTGCCAAGGCAATCGAGCACGCGACCGTGCACCCGAACACCTTCCTGGGCCAAGCCATCGAGGCGAGCGAGAACCTCGACGCCTGCTACCAAGATGCCCTGACCAGAGCGCTTGCAGGGAACATGTGGTCCATCGCAAGCATGAGCTTCGTGCTCGGGATGCGCGAAAGGGCACAAGGAACGGTCATCGCATTGGTCAACAAGCAGATCGCGGGCGAGCGTAGCTTGTCGCAGTCTGTGCTGTCCACGCATGAAATCCCAACAGTGGGGCTCGCAGCCTGGGGCCTCGGGTTCTGGTCTCCAAAAGTGCTGGTCGTGGACCTCATGGGCACATGCGACAAGACGAGCCCTGCGCTGCAGAAGCGGCTCCTAGCCCGCCTGCCGTCTTGGGCCAAGTCCATGACGAACTGGAGCCCAGAAGCCTTCGCGACGAGGTCGCGGCTCCAGTGGCAGTGCATCGACTGCTCGGGCGCTTGCAGCCTGGACGAGGCCTTGGCAAGGCACGTGGAGAAGCTGGTCGAGGCCCCCCCCCCAGAAAAGGGACCCTTTGTGCATTATGAGCTTGTCTCGTCTTAAGACAGAAATTTCAGTGTATTATGCTATATTATTACTAGACTAGACTAGACTAGACTCTACTCTATACCTTACTATACTCCAATATACTATACTGTACATGTAGTTGTATTGAGTGTCTCATCTTACCATCGCCACCCGCCGCCGGAGGCCAAGGAGGAGCAGGACCAGAAGGACCAAGAGCTCCGCCAGGCGCCTCAGTGAGGGTGTTTTTTTTGGGCTTTTTAGGGCTTTTTGCGTGCGGGCATCTTCGGGTTTTGGGGTTTGTTGGGCTTTCAGGGCTCTTAATATGGGGTTTATAGGGTTCTTCGGGTTGAAAGGGCTTGTGGGGTTTATATGGGGTTTAGGGTTTAGGGTCCAGGTCGTGAGTCCGGATCTCGCAGCCCTGGCTGCCACCAAGCTCAGCAAAGAAGAGGTGGGCCTCGCCGACCAGCTGTTAAGGTCGGACAAAAACTCGGGTCAGTTGCTTGTTAGGTCGTTGATCAAGCTGTACAACCACAGAGAGGTGCTGGAGAAGGAGGTGCAAAGCGTCTTCATGAAGGCGGTTCCTTTGCGAAAACTTGCTGGCCCGGCTCGGCTGTCGCGGGCGAGGGAACTCCTCCAGCGGAATGCCGATCCGAATGCGGGCGACGAGTTTGGCTGCACAGCCCTCATGTGTGCTTCATACAAAGGAGACCTAGAGCTGGTTCGGGCCTTGCTGGATGCAGGAGCGGAGCTGGAGGTCCGCAATGCGGTAGGCTCCACAGCCCTCATCTATGCTGCAAGCAAGGGTGATTTGGAGGTGGTGGAGGTGCTGGTGGAAGCCGGAGCCCAGCTGGAGACTTGCAACCAGGAAGGCAGCACAGCCCTAAGGTCGGCTGCCAGCAATGGTCATATGCAGGTGGTGGAGGCGTTGGTAAAGGCCGGAGCCCAGCTTGATACCCGCAATGAGCAAGGTCTCACAGCCCTCGTGTCCGCTTCATACAACGGCCACTTGAAGGTGGTGGAGGCATTGGTGAAGGCCAGAGCTCAGCTGGATGCCCGGAGTGACGGTCTCACAGCCCTCATGTCCGCTTCATACAACGGCCACTTGAAGGTGGTGGAGGCTTTGCTGAGGGCTGGTGCCCAACCGTAACTGGCAAAACAGCCTTCGACTACGCACGAGTTGCAAACCATCCTAAACCCTAAACCCTAAACCCTAAACCCGAAACCCTAGACCCTAAACCCTAAACCCTAAACCCTAAAGCCCTAAGCCCAAAGCCGGGGGAGCCCCAAAGCCCAGAACCCCCCGAGGATGCGCCTCCTCCGCCGGCACCGAGGCAGGTGGGCCTTCAGGGGCTTCTTTAGCTGCTCCTCAGGGGGTGTTAGGCTTTCGGGGGTCCAGGGTTTGGGGTTTAGGGTTTTTTAGAGGTCTGGTAGGCTTCTGGAGCTGAAAGGGCTTGTAGGGTTTGTAGTCTTTAGGGGCTTTGGGTTTGGGGTTTGGGGTTTAAGGCTTTTGGAAGGGTTACTGTAAAACACCTCTCGAAGGGCGACTGTCGGGGGTATGCTTTGTCACAGTTTGATAACATTTTACATTTTCATGGGCATTTCTATTCAATAAGGAATAGGAGTTTAGGATTCAAGACTATCCCAACCATAATAGTGGGGCGCAGTCGGGTTGCGAAGTTTTGGGGCTGGAATATATGGGATCCTGATTCGGTTGCCCTAGTTGTAACCTACATAACAGATTGAACAGCTGCTTCCACCTTCCCAAGTCTCCCGACACTCCAAGTAGGGTTTGAGTCCGTTTCCGGGCTTTGGGTTTGAGGGTTTGGGGTTTTTGGAGTTTGGGATTGCTTTGGTGCGAGACTGCTCAGGGTTTAGGATTCAGGGTTTAGTGTGAGGACCCTAAACCCTAAAGATTCCGAGTCTTAGCGTAGACACACAAATGCTGCGACTGCAGTTACGATGTCTACAACAATTAGCCTTATCACAGCACTCGCTGTATACTCACCCCTAGTTCCTCTACGTTAATGAAACAAATACTACAACGCAGGCGCTTGCTGCGCCCAAGCCGCGCAAGCTTCGATCGCCAACCCGCCGTTTCCCGGCCGGGACCTGGATCTCAAAGTAAGGGGTAAATACTGTATGTAAGGGTTACTGAAGAGAGATACTAGAAGGATCATCTAACTTCAAACTTCAGTTTATGCTCTTACTGGTACTAAATGCTAAGTTGCGCTAAATGCAAATTTTCTAAATGCTACATGCTAATGTTAAGACTGGCACGAATGTTAGTACACACCCCCCATCAAAATCGCAATCCCAATTCCGATTCCCGGAGCATGCGCTAGCCCGGAAGAAGCTTTCAAGTGGTTTAGGGGTTTGGGTTTAGAGAAAACCCCCTAAACCCCAATGCAAGCTGCTGAACTTTAGATCCTAAATCCTTAATCCTAAACCCCTGAATCCTAATGAATGAATACTCCGAATCCTCCAGAAGGCAGTCGATCCGGTTTCGACGCATTTCGGGCGCCGTGGCCTCAGCTACAGTGGCAGGTGCCTTCCGTGTTTTGTGGCCGTTCGTTACTGGTAGATGGTGTCATCGTTTTCTGCTGAAAGCTCTAGCCTCATGCCTTCGGTTTTTCGCGGCAGGTCGTTGGTAATGGTAGGTGGTGTCATCTTCGTTGTCTGCCGGATGCTCTAGCTTCATGTCCCGCAGAGCTGTATGCCTCGTGCTCCAGCGACTCAGCTTTTTCTGGTGTATTTACCAAGTCCCATACGTAGGATCCTTGCCCAATGCTGCGCCTCATGGGCTTCCTTCTGATCGCGCTTGCAGCCGGGCTCCGGTCAAAGAGCGACCCGTCCTGGCCCTGGGAGGAGCACCGCCCGAGCTCTGCCGAAGAGCTTCAGGAACTCCTGAGCACAGTGCTGGCGCAGAGCAGCGCAGCTGAGGTCACAGTGGAAGAGCCCGGAGATGCAGAGGCACGGGAGCGGACGCTTCGAGAGCGGATCGCCACCATCACGAAGGACTGGCAGAGCGCCAGCGCACCTGCTTGCCATCAGCAGCTCGGGCGGTTGATGAACAGCCTCACGCTTAAATGTGACGGCTTACAGCCGAAAGCCGACTGGCTTCTTGACTACTACGTGCCTACCCTTCCGAACAAAACGTGCACCGACAGTGTCAGCGACATCTTCGCGTTGGGAGACGAATTGGTGGAAACCCTCCGCGTCGCCAGAGATGCCGTTGCTTCCGTGGATGTGGCCGGCGAAACGCTCCGTCGATATCAAGCACTCTCCTTTCTGAGGAGCTGGCTAGTGGACCTGACCCGGACTCATCATCGTGCACTGCTTTGGGCTGGCTTCTGGGACGGTGACCCCGAGAACCGCACGACGCAAGCCGCACTCTCCAACTTTGCCAAAGCAATAGAGCACGCGACCGTCCACCCGAACAGCTTCCTGGGCCAAGCCATCGAGGCGAGCGAAAACCTTGACTCCTGCTACAAGGACCCCCAGACCAGTGCTCTTGCGGGCAACATGTGGTCCATCGCAAGCATGAGCTTCGTTCTCGGGATGCGCGAAAGGGCACAAGGAACGGTCATCGCATTGGTCAACAAGCAGATCACGGGTCAGCGTAGCTTGTCAGAGTCCGTGCTGTCAACGCATGAAATCCCGACAGTGGGGCTCGCAGCCTGGGGCCTCGGGTTCTGGTCTCCAAAAGTGCTGGTCGTGGACCTCATGGGCACATGCGACAAGACGAGCCCTGCGCTGCAGAAGCGGCTCCTCGCCCGCCTGCCGTCTTGGGCCAAGTCCATGACGAACTGGAGCCCGGAAGCCTTCGCGACGAGGTCGCGGCTCCAGTGGCAGTGCATCGACTGCTCGGGCGCTTGCAGCCTGGACGAAGCCTTGGCAAGGCACGTGGAGAAGCTGGTCGAGGCCCCCCTCAGAAAAGGGACCCTTTGTGCATTATGAGCTTGTCTCGTCTTAAGACAGAATCTCGCAGCGAAGGCCAAGGAGGAGCAGGACCGGAAGGACCAAGAGCTCCGCCAGGCGCGGAGTTTCCAGATGGTGCCTCTTGGCTTTAGGGCTTGAAGGGATTTAAGGGTTCCTTGGAGGTTCATGGGTAGTGAACAGTACGGTTGCAAGTTCCCCCCCAAGGCACTCCCTGCCAGGTCGTGAGTCCGCACCTCGCAGCCCGGGCCACTGTTGGAGTCAGCCAAGAGGAGCTCGGCCTCGCCGACAAGCTCATAAGGTCGAGTGACAAGTTGTTCGCTTCCGTTTCCGTATCCGACAACGACAAAGTTGTGATCAAGCTCAAGCTTTACAAGCATGCATTGAACCTGAGAGCGAAGCAGGAGGACCTTGCCTTCCGAACATTTTTTAAGGCTTGGGAAGGGCAGGAAGACCCCAGCCCGCATTTTCGGGTGGAGCAACTTCTTCATCAGAATGCGGATCCAAACTCACAAGACCGGCTGGGCCGCACAGCCCTCATGGAAGCTGCCTTCAGTGGCCACCTGAAGGTGGTGGAGGCATTGCTGAAGGCTGGAGCCCAGCTCGAGGCCCGCGAGGAGTTAGGCCGCACAGCCCTCACCATTGCTGCAACGAGCGGCCACCTGAACGTGGTCCGGGCGTTGGTGCTGGACGGAGCAGAGCCGGAGGCCTGCAATCCAAGTTGCTTCATGTCTGTTGCGAAGGCAGGCCACCTGGACGTGGCCGAGGTGTTGCTGAAGGTCGGAGTTCCGCTGGAAGGTCGAGATGAAAGAGGGCACACGGCCCTCGTCTCTGCTGCCACGCAGGGCCTCGTGAACGTGGTCGATTTTCTGGTGAGGGCCGGAGCCCAGCTCGAGGCCCGCGATCAGCATGGCGACACAGCCCTCGTGTTGGCTGCAAACAACGGCGATTTGGAGGTGCTTGAGGTCTTGATAAGGGCCGGAGCCCAGCTGGAGGCTTCTTGTAGGCACGGAACAGCTCTCACTGTCGCCGCAGAACATGGCCGTTTGAGGGTGGTCGAGTCGTTGCTGAAGGCCAGAGCCCTGCCGGAGGCCCCTAGTCAAAATGGCCTGACAGCGCTCACAGTCGCTGCAGAGCACGGCCACCTGAAGATTGTCGAGGCGTTGCTGGAGGCCGGAGCCCAGCTGGAGGCCCAGGATAAGGAAGGCAACACGGCCCTCATCTGGGCTGCACGCGAGAAGCACCAGGAGGTGGTCCAGGCCTTGCTAGAGGCCAGAGCCCAGACTGAGGCCCGCAGTGCGGATGGCTTCACAGCCCTCACCTGGGCTGTGGCAGAAGGCCAGCTGCAGGTGGTCGAGGCCTTGCTGCAGGCAGGAGCCCATGCAGAGCCCCTTCATAAGAAGTTGGCAGATCATCAGCACCTGAAGCTTGCGGACATCCTGTGAACATCGCGGCCCAATCAAGCCCCAGAGAGTATTTCTGTTCTGAGCGCAAGGGGCATTGTATTTGTCGGAACTGGCACCAAAAACCCTAAACCCCAAGCCCTGGTGCATAGTTGGTCGGAACTGACACCAAGCCACCGGAACGGAACATATCGGTGCGCATGCTGTTGTCTTGTGGAGATCGGTTCCCAGCTGAAGAAAGGCAAGGCTTCAGGGTTCCAAAGGGTTGTGCAAGGTTCCCGTATAAGGGTTACATGAAGGGTTCCTCTACATGGGCTACCTTAAGGGTTTCGATAAGGGTCACGTTAAGGGTTACTGCGTGGCTTGCCTCAAGCAGTTTGGGGAGCTCTAAACCCTGCCTTGACTTGAGGGTGGAACTCGGAAGAGCAACATCGCAACGTTTACAAGCCCGCTTATGGCCCGACAATCCTGAGGACAAGCCGCAAATCTTGTCAAGGTCCTCAAGCTTAGACCGAAAACCCTAGACCGTAAACCGTGACACCCAGAACCTTGGCAAGCACACAATCTGCAAAAGCCCACATGAGTGTACACATCTTTAAAGAAAAGAGAAACACGCAAACACCCAACCGTGAATGAAGCTTAACGGCAAAAGGAAGTTTCCATCTGGAGCCCAGATTCCTGGGCACATAAACACCTCACCCCAAGCCCCGGACCCTAAGTGTCTAGACCCTAAAGATCCGAAGTGAAACGCCAAAGAACCTCCAAATTCTAAGGACTTACTACAAAGCCTTGTAAAACTTTTACAAAAAGCTTCTAAACCCTAAACCCTTATCCTATGTAAAGGCCTCTGAAAGTGTTCCAACGACCTGACCCCGAGGATGCCCCGTTCGGGCTGGAGGCCCTGGCACCACGGTTTAGGGTTTAGGGTTGAGGGGTTTAGGGGTTTAGGGTTTAGGGTTTAGGGGCCTTGGATTTAGGTGTTGTTGGGGGTTTAGGGTTTGGGACTTTGAGGCTTTGGGTTTGAGGGCTGTGGTTAGGGTTTCAGGGTTTGGGGTTTGCGGGCTTGGGCGTTTAGGGTTAGAAGGCTTTTGTATGCTATCTGGACTTTCGTTAGGGGTTTTATAAAGTAAAAGGATGTTATGCGCGGGTTGTTAAAGCTTGGGAGTTGGTTTCTTTGGGTTTGGGACTTTACGGCTTTGGGTTTTAGGGCTGTGGTTAGGGTTTGGCTTTGGGGTTCTGCGTTTAGGCAGGCATTGCTCATGTAATGTTTTTGATTTGTGGGAGAAGTGGTGGCCCGAAGCCTGGACCTGGACGAAAACCATCGAACACTCAAAATCCCTATGCTTCAACCCCAAAACGTAGATTCTACGCCGTCGATGGAAACCATGTCAGAAGCCCACATGCTACGAATGCAACTACGATAACTGCAACATTTACTCTTCTTACTGTATCAAGTATATATATATATATATATATACATACATACATATGTTTTTTTACAGTCTATGCCAGACTGGGGCCTGGGCCTCAAAGTAAGGGGTTACTGTAAGGATAATCTCCCTTCGACGCAGTTTTTTTGGGGAGTGGGTTCAGAGGTTTCTTCCAACTTAGGTTTCCAGGGGTAGGCAGGCTTTCAGTCAGCAAGGTGGATGCCTCTAACCTGGATGGCATCGTGCCAGTTGCTACTTCCAGATCCAAGTCCAACCGGGGGCGCGGGTAAGGCACCATTCGTACAAGTTTACTGGGAACCAGGGGTAGTGTTTCTCCTGTTGGCTCCTGGGCCAAAGCTTTTGCAGCGGCATGTCAGGTTAACCTTGCATTTCTTAGTGCTTTGCGGCGGCAGCAAAGCACTTTGTTGGTTGATCGCTTGGCCGGGATTTGTGGCGGATTCCGCCCAGACGCACAGCATGGCATGATCCCCAAAACCCCAAATCCCTCAACAGAAAGCAGGAAGTTTTCGGAAGTCCCAAAGCCGTGAAACCCTATAAAACCCAGACAAAGCTGTCCGAACTCGCAGTTCCGGAGTGCAGGCTGCCGCTCGCAGTGGGGAGACTTCCTTCCCGGGAGAGTTCTCAAAGCGCCTGGCTCCGAAGAGCCCTGGGCTTTTCACTTCCGGCACGGATTCCGGGTTCTTCCTCGTAGATACTGCTGGAGCTCTTTTTTGAGGCCGTGAGTGTCGAAGCATCGAAGTGAGGGGGCTCCCTGCAGACCTGGTCCCTCGCAGCTAGTGTGGGGGTTTGGGAGGCCAGGGCAGCTTTCGGAAGCAGGCCCTGCCCCGTTCGAACCCTTGATGCCTGTCTCCTCGTCACAAGGAGCCGCACAGGCCCCCTCAGAAGCCGCTTCGAAAGAAACCTGAAGGGAAACCTCAACAGAAACCCATTGAACAAAAGCCTTCTTGCAACCTCGTCGAGACCCTGCAAGGCAAAGCCCATCCACGCGCCGCGCTTTTGAGGCCCTGGGCCTCGGGGGCTCTTCGGGGGCCGGGGGCTTTGGCTTCCAGTCGTGAGGTGTTGTGACCCGAAGGGTCGCGCAGAAAGGTGTCGCAGGGTTTTACAGCGTTTAAATATGGTGAATCAATATGAGCAACATTGCAGAGACTTCTGCAACTGGTACATCTCTGCATTTGTCGCAGTGGTTTGGCGTTGGCGGGACGCATCTTTAGCCAAGGTAGCCCAAGTTTAGCAGAATATCAGGACCCCAAGACTGCGAGGTCGACGTAGCATTGCTGGAATTGGGCGCGGGCGACATCTCCAGGCTTGCAGTGCAGGGTGTGTTTGCAAGGGAAGTTTGGGGGAGATCGGTCCGTTTTTGCCCTCGTAATTTGCACGGTGGCAGTTGTTGCAAGCTCGCCGTGCATTGCACATAGGTGTTGCGATTCGCTTGGTATGCTGCCCGGCCACCTTGCACTTTGGCCCACAGCGCATCTCACACCGAAAGGATCTTGGTCCAGGAGGCTGTGACCTTGCGCACACCTGCAGCTACACGCACATACACACTTTGCACATCTTTCTACTTCGAAGGCTTGCTGGACTGAGGGATGCATCCAACGTCTTGTCAGTGTGTTGCCAGACGTTCTCCCGCTTCACTGACAGCCCCAGCCTTATAGCATGCATTGAGGCATGCTGAAGCATCATATGCGGCTTCCAAACAAGCTCTAGTCATGCGGAGATGAAAGGTCTGAAACAGGATTGTGTGGTTGCAGACATCGTGAATGGAGAGGGTGCAGGTTGCTAGAACGCATAGAGGCTCTCGGTCTACGAATAAAAGATCTTTCAGAAACATGCGCATAACCTTGCCTCATTCTGCTGAACATGGCCAGCAGTGCCTTGTCCGACGCATCGGATGTTCATGATTCTCAGCCAGCATTGACTTTTAGGCCACAGAGCCCTCACTAGGCCCCTGCACGGAATTCAATCCCATAGCATTCCTTTTGCTGCCTCTCGCCGGAAGGAGAGAGGCACGCCTATGAAGTGTTGGGAGAATTTGGAGGGGCCGGCGACGTGTAGATGTCCGTGACACGCGCACTTCATCGCAGCCACGATGCAAGCGCCGTAGCAAAGTTTCGTGGAAGGTTCTTTGTGTGTGCTTGGATTGGCATTTCCAGCAGGGTTGAGACGGGTTGCATCTTTCGCCCATGCTCTGCGAGTGTAGAAGGGGTGTAGGTTGCGTAGAAGATTTTGATGTGTAAGCTTGAACTATGTAGAGCCTCCAGTCCACAGTGTCTCGGAGCTCCCCGGAGTGATTGTGAAATCCGTCAGCCCCGTGGCCGTGCCAGGCGCCCCTTTGCGGTGCCAGCGACTATCCGGCACCGGGTCCAGGGCCAGGCGCGAGCACCCCCGCCTGCACTGTAGCGAGCTTGGAGATTGCAGGTAGATGACTATCACTTGTGTTGTGGCTCCCAAGCTAGAGCTTCGCTTTTGCAATGATTCCGCAACCCAGGGATGGCTTCGTGGTGGCTCCCGGCGTTTGGGCTGCTATTTGTGGCCGCCGGCATCTGGCTGCTCTGTAGGCCTGGGGGCACTTGCCGGGTGTGCCGATTTCACCCTAAACCAAAAGCAGATAGTTGGGGTTGTCCCCAGCAGGACCTCCGGCGTTCGAATCAGCCTTGCTGGAGGGTGGGTGTAGAGTAGACACCAAACACCCTCTTGTTCCACAGGCTGGGATGTGGCAATGACGAGGAAGACAGCACTGAAGAGGAGATAGAGATAGAGGATGAGGAGGAGCAGCGTGACGAGAAGCTGTCGTTGCAAAGCGCTCTTGGGCTGCAAGGAGTACGAGTGCAGTAGTGCGCAAAGTGCTGATAGAGGAGTACCTTCCATGCCACGAGCTACGTAGCCATGGTGACTTTGGCCCTTTGCCGGCCTTGCAGGTTCAGGCTGTGGGCCCGGGCAATGGACAGAGGTCTCCGTGTTTCTGTTCGGGGACACCACCTTGTGGCACAGCTCCAGAGTTGCAGCTGAGGATGACTCCCAATCTTCGCGAGACTCAGATGGGATTTGGCAGGATGGTCCGCGAGGTGCGTGCGCGGGTGAAAGCTTGAATGCGCAACTTGCAATGTAAAGTTTTATAAAACACTGAAAGCTTGAATGCGCAACTCGCAATGTAAAGTTCGGTTTGATTCATGCTTCTCCTGCAGAGTTATCAGGCGATGCACGCAAGGACCATGCGTGGCTTCTGCTGGTCTCGGGCGTTGTCTTAACTTGGCTGCTCACAGTGTTGGTGGCAGTGCCATTGACCACGAAGCTCCTGGCTTTGATCGCCCCTGGCTGCCTGCTCGGGTTGCTGGTGGCCAGGCACGTGGGCACAGGCGGCGACAAGTGGATTCTGGTCCCGACCACCCTGCTGTGGCTGTGGTCGGCAGTGGTACCTTTCCTCCACCATGTGACCTGGTGGCATCGATGCCGTTCGCAGGGATGAATGGTGTGGCTCTCCGCGTAGTATGGTAGCAGGCTTGTATAGGCTGTCCCGAGTGCAGGATGGGATTATGTTCGGTTACGCAGGAGTACAGACTGTAGGACCCTGCCACATGGCAGAAAAAAGGGTAGTAACTTACAGTACTGACAGGGATGTTGAAGGTCTGAGGCGCTGTCGATGGTGGCTTGCTGTCGCAAGATGGCTGTGGTTCTGCATCTCTGGGTTGGAGCATGTGGCACCACCTTAAACCCTGAAACCTTACCTTATCCCCCTTAGTCCCCGTAGGCAGGCCAGAGCATGATCTTCTTGTGCTCTTGACAGGCAGGTGGGGTCCCGAACCTTTGTAAGTTTCGGAAACATGTAGAGGACCCTCTGAAAAAAACGGAGACAAGAGGACTTCACTTGACCTAGAGCCCTGCACGAGTCTTGGGGCTTCAGCATGGAAAGATATGGAAGCTTCGTCTTTTCTTGATAGGTTGCAACGGAAATCACCCAAGTGCTAGAGGGGAAGGCTCGGGAAAGTCCGCCGCCCAGGGCCTGCTCTGGAAATGGCTCCTGCCACTATCCGGCCTGCTCTCCGTGGCTGCCGGCGCGCATCTGCTCTTGAGGCTCGGTGGCAAGCAGAGCAGCCGACATGGATCCGCCGAGGATCCCAACAAGGAATGAACCGAGAGGTTGAAAATCAAAAGGGAAGACACCGACGCAGTTTGCATCCTGCAGGCCTGTGGATGGAGCAGAGCAGGATGCAGTGTCATCTGCTGTGGAATCGTGGCATGCACGAGCTTTCTTGCGTGGCTGGTAGTCCGCAAAAGCTGTGGCATGAATCAAGTCGGCAATGAAGTCAACGGAGAAGTTTCTTAGCCCTTAAACAGCCGCAGCCGAGGTCGGCTGCTCGTGGCTCTGGCATGCGCCGAGCGACGAAGGCTCGAACATGGACGGCACACTATAGGGGGCACAGATTCTAGTGCCTTGCTGCCTGGCTTGGCCTACGCCTTTCTAGACTTCAGCACAGGCGAGCTTCGGGGGGAGTGCGGCTGGCTCCTGCTGGTCTTGGGCGTGGTGACGACATGGCTTTCGGTGCTGCCCGTCCTGCTCTCTGTCACCGCGCAGCTCCTCTTCCAAGCCGTTCCTGGCAGCTTTTGGGGCCTTTGGATTGCTGCGAACGTGCGAAAAGTGCGCGAGAAGCTGCTGCTTGTTCCGGGCGCCCTGCTCTGGCTCTGGCTTTCGGCGCTGCCCTTTTTGGAGAAGTTGGCGTGGTGGCAGCTGGCGCTCCAACTTCCGGGCCTGGGACTCTGCGCCCTCGGGGTCGCCGTGGCAGGGCAGAGAAAGATAAAGGAAAAACAGAGGCAGAGTGGAAAGAGCTTGGCCTGGAGCTGGGGCGGCCTTTTGGCGGCGTGGCTGCTTTCGACGGGGTCGCTTCTACCCGTGACCCGACCCTTGGCGCTTTCTGCACTGCCCGGCTTCATCTTTGGGCTCTTGGCCGTGGGAATGTTTGCCAACCACACTTGGTTTGAACTCGACTGCTTCGTTCATGGCGCTTCTGCCTCGTTCGGGAGCCTGCCGGTCCTGGTCGGCACGGGCAGCTGGTGTCTTTTCTTGCTTGTTGTGCTTCTTTCTTGGACCAGCTGGGTGAATGTGCTTAACTTGCCGGGAATTCGTTTTCTGTTGTCGCATTTTCCTTCATCTTTGTGTCTGTGCTGCCCGTTCTGGCGCTGTGGGCCTCGGCAGATTGGGAGGCACCCTGGACCTGCGACCACGCCCCAGGCCCGATCTGCGAGTCCTGGCCGTGGCCCGCGCTGCTCTCACCGTTTCTCGTGGTCGCCATCACTTTCAGCGTGCAGGTCGTCACCCTACACGTACAAGGTGAGTTTCAGTTGAAGCGGGGTGATCTGCTCGCCCGGGCGCTGGTGCTCGTAGTGCTGGCGGCCACGCCGGTGGCCTGCATGTCAGATCTGGAAACTGCCACCAGCTGGATGCAAGCTCCCGACTTGAACCCCTTGGATTACCTTCACATCACGAACTACACGGGTCCTTGGTACAATTCGAGCATTGAAGTGAAAGTGCAGGTCGCACAGTGGCGATTAAAGATGCCGGAGCCTGTTTGGCCCAATGCCTCGGAGCTGCAGCGCCCCCCACCGCACCGGGCCGACTTCTGGGTGAGCTACATGTTGACGAAATTCGGCCTGGTGGTCGCCAGCGCCGCGCTGCTGCTGCGATTCACCTGCGGCCGGGCCTCACAGCAGTCGCCGGAGAGCCAAGAGCCAAAGCCAGAAGATGCCGAAACGGAGCCGGAGGCCACAGGCAACAACGACGAGGCAGCCCTCTCGGACGCATCGCTGGACATGCTGACGTGGGTGCTGGTGCCCGGCTGGCTCGTCCTATGCACCAAAGTGACGCTCTCGGCAGGCAGTGCAGGGCAGCTTGCTGCAGGCACCCTGCCGTGGGAGGCCTACGATCTGCTCTTGACATGCGGACTGGCCCTTTTCTTGACACAGGTGCGATCTTCTTTGAGACAAGGGAAGTGCTCGATAGTTTGCAATTGGCAACT